GTGAGCAGGTAGTCAGGTCCGCAGAGGCAACAACTACACCACTTTCGCGGCGCAAAAACGAGTGAGGAGGCCCACGATACCGTCGTTCTTCTCATTGGCCCAACCTACAATCATTGGCACCGCCCTCCACTCATTCCTAATGGTTATCTGATGGTGCGGTTGTTTCGCTGCTGCTTCTCTCCACGTCGAGTGGTGAGAGTGAGGTGATAAGGGAAAACAGCTGATATCAACAAGTGAGAACTCGTGCGACCGCACCTTCTCTTCGCCTTGAGCACGTACAACCTCAATTAAGCAAGGGGTTCTATATAGAGCCTTTCCTATGATTTCTTTCTGATTTTTCTTCACTAAGGGTTACTTGCTACCTTGTTATAAGTATTTGAGCCGCATAACTCATCAAAATTGAATGCGGGCTCAGCCTTTAAGTTTCATTTCATCTCAGGCTGCCTACCTGCCGTTGGTTATCGCTTGATCCATACTTCAGCGCCGGTCCTGCTACCATGGAGTGTTGCGTACCATTTATCAGCCGAACAGAATGGTCGTTCCCTAATCGTAACTTCATACGAATAGCTTGTGGAAGTAATTCAATGAAGGCTGCTCTCAATTGTAAGTTTAGCATAGCATAAAGGAGAGGATTCCATACCTGAAATTTGACACCTTTGATCCCGTTCAAAAAGATGTCTTGCGGTTGAAAATATTCAAACATACCGTAGATGTCATTGCTATGCAATGTGTTGCAATACCGAATAAATATTCTTGATCTTTAACCATTTGCGGTAAATAGTCGTAATCACGTAGAACATTGAACATTACAGACCATATCCAACTGAAAAGATAGCTATCTCTCAAAACTTCGTGCTTTTGTCAAAGTTTTTTTTTGAAAATCATTTAAAGGCAGTTGGCACGATAAATCCTCCAAGACGAGCAGGATTAATACGCCTGGCAGGACGGAATTCCGCGACCCTGAGCAGGCGCTGCATAATGCCTTTTCCAAGGAAGGTGCCCTTATAAGGGCCTATCAAGCCACAACTTAAAGAAACGGTCCGCGATCAGGTATCGAAGTTGAAAATATGGTGTGGGGAGGGTAGTGCGGTCCGCGACGAACAACCCTGTACCGTTTTCGCGGAAAAAAAAGTGCAGGGGAGGGGCGCTATAAGGCAGAATAGATCCAGTGGTTCCTCCTTTTTTCCAGTGACTCCGCCTCCCAAGCGCCGCCCTTTAGTGAGAAACCAAGTTTTCGGACGAGAAAAGCATGAACATTTGAGCCCCTTCGTTATTTGTACGGACGTAGGGTTGTATTGGGTCAGCTGAGCGCACAAAGGGGTACAACTGGAAATGTATTGCAAAAAGTATGTATTGCAAAGTGCACGAAAAGTTGGAAGGAAAATAGCATCATTTTGAATTTGAAAAGCAAAACAAACTCAAAAACAACAAAGAAACATTATGATGCGATGAGTTCACTGAAAAAATAAGAATATTAAAGGTCAGTCTTTCATACGTGGCGCCACACCTACTTCTGGCAGCGAGCCAATAACGTGGAACGCTCGTCCATAAGCGCTGTTTCCCCATCGCATGCACGTACAAACCAGGATTGTAATGGGGTCCTATTTAGGACATTGGGCATGTTTTTTCTGCTTTTTTCTTCACTATTGAGTTACTCTGAACCTTGTCCTCTTTATGCGAAGCCCAAATTCACTATCTAAGATGGCAACTGATCGCGGGCTTTGCCTTACGTCCCAAACGCCCGCCCGCCCGCCCACAAATGGACGACTGTTCCAGACGCTCTAATTGATTCATTTGCTAAGCAAATTATGAAGCGAAGGCATTGGTATGAAGCGGTCGTGATGCTGCATGGATATATGAGTACACATATGCAGCCGTACCTTCGGTAGCGGTTATTGGTAAGATGCCTTCGGGAAACTCGTCCAAAATTGATTACTAACACAGTGAGAACGGAGTCTCTTTTTCGCAGGATTTTGACCGTTTCACTCCGTTCTTTCGCCATTTCCCACTATATAGCGCCCTACTAGCATTTTAGGCCGAGCACCAATCATCGTGCCAACTGCCTTTAAGTAAAATCCTACGAAGAAGCATTGTCGGCGGGATCGTAAGGACCATGGAGCACCCTGCCCAATGTTTCTGCAAGTGGCACGATAAATCCCCAAGACGCGTAGGATTATTACGCCTAGTAGCACGGAATTTGGCGCTCTTGAGAAGGCGCTCCGTGGCGCCTCTTCCAAGCAAGGTATCTTTACAGGTCCTATCAAGCTGTAGCATACCGACAGGGCTCAACCGTCCTCCCGCCCACAAATGTCCGACCTATGCTGATGCTCGTATTGCTTCATTTGCGAAGTATAAGATGAAGCGAAGGGATAAATATGATGCGGTTGTGGTGCTGCATGAACTCGTCCGAAACTCCTTTCTGAGCCGAGTAAGGGCTCATTTTGCAGGTTTGGACGGTTTCACTTCGTTTTTTCGCCATTTTCCTACTATAAAGCACCCCTGCCACCATTGAAGACCGAGTAAATAATCGTGCTTTATACTTCTATTCCTTTCGTAAAGCGTGGCTGTTCTACAAGATCATTACAAACAGTTCGACGATACGTGCACCTCCGTTCGGAGATGGGGGAGCATGGCTGCGTGCTTCTTTCTGACATGGGGCTGAGAATGTGTTTTTCATGGGGTATTTCCATTTGAGAAAACAATCACGCTGCCTTGTGGACAAGCACATGATTGACTACAAATGTCCCAACAAATGTCCCAAAGGTGATATTCCGCCAAAAGCGCAGCCGCCGCTAGGTTCGAATGAAGTTGGTATGCTCTCCTTGCTTCGAGAAATGGAATTTTCAGATGATACAACTCAGAAAATCCCTCAATCGCGAACGCTGTCCTCGAGAAGACTACAATCCAAGACCAGAGATCTGTTCTTTATCATCACAGTCGCTATTATTATCGAACTGTAAGGTTGCGTTCATACTTTGCGACAGTGTCCACCAGCGTCCATCAGCGAATAAGAGCGCTCATAGTGACCAGAAGAGAGAGTATGGGGTAGCAAACAGCCGCATTAGGCTTTATGAAAATGTGTCGTAAGCAATCGCACCGCACAACTGCTAAAGCACAGAATCATGCAATTCAATGTACGGTGTAGTGTAGTTGTACGGTGCGGTTGCACACGCCGCAATTTCACGACGCCTAATCCAGCTGTTTGCTACCCTCCTACTTCCCCATACTCTCTACTCCCAGTCGCTGGTGAACGCTGGTGTGCACCGGTAGACGGTGGCAGTCGTTGGACGCTCGGAACCTAGTGGTCGCTGGTAGACGCTGCTGGACGCTGCGCAAAGTATGAACGGGGTGTGTTAGACCAACCTGGCTGAGAATGCGACCACCATCGCGATGAGCATTCGATTCGTTCTTTGCTTCCTTTTGAGGGCCATCCTTTGCTGATCGGTGAGTTGCACATTCCAATTAGAGCTCGAGTCACGTTTCGTGCTCCTCAGAATTACGCTCGGAAAAAGTAAAACGTTCATAGAAGCGGTAGAAAAGTAAATTTCAATAGACTCACTTGACCAATTCGAAGTGAAATAGCTGTATAAGAGACAACAATGATAGTTAGAGGAACAACCAGCTGAACGCATAGCAGTGCTGCTCCATAAACTTTCCGTTGACTTTCATTATCGCTCCAATCTTCTGAAATTTTTAATGTCAGAACGATAATAGGTGTAATGGACATGAATTGATGGTACCTGTACAATATTGTCCACAAAAGTTCTCAAATGACCCTAGTTTTTGTCGAAATATAATGGGAGAAGAAATGCAAGCCGCCAGTACGCAGGTTAACTGAAATTGAAAAAATTTTCATGTAGTGGATCTAATCAACTGACTTGATTGTCTTATTAACCTAAGAGACTGGAATTAATACATTAGCGAACATTTTGAAAGAATAAATATAAAACGACGATAGGATAATAGCAAGACGCTTTTCTGAGGCTGCGTTCATACTTTGCGGCAGCCCAGCGTACAGAGCGTCCAACAGCGTCAGCGACTAGGAAAGTAGATATCAATCTAGCGTCTGCCAGCGTGCACCAGCACGTCTTGCGCGCGAGGGAGTTAGGTATCGATCCAAAGTCTGTCAGCTCTGCCAGCGTCCAAAAGCGACCAGCAGGGGACTGCTAGTAGAGAATGTGGGGCGATAGGAGGGTATCAGCTGTCTGCTAATCTCCTATCGCGCCATACTTTGCAAGACGTCTGCTACCCTCCTGTCGCCCCATACTCTCCACCAGCTGTCTGTTACCCTCCTATCGAACCACTCCCGGATACTGCTGACCACTGGTAGACGTCGACATCCTTGCCTATACTTTCCTAGGCCTTGAGACGCTGCAGGTCGCTGGTGGACGCTGCCGCAAAGTATGAATGCAGCCTTGAGCGGCTCCAGGTCGTCTCTGCTCGCTCTGTCTATAGGAAGCGGTTAAGCGCTTCACCTTACTGCTCAATACTGTCCTCATCATTACGGACTGTCGGGGCGTGTCAGCCAGTAGGAGTGCGCACACTGTTGAAGCCGTTCTCAGCCTTTTTTGTTGAAACGCGTATGCGACAAAAAGTGGTAGAAAACGAGTAATACGAAGATATAATACAGTAATGTCACTTGCCCGCTTCAACAACTGGTGCAGAACGACTTCGGCACCGCGCCAAACGCAGCCGCACTGACACGCCCCACAGTCCGTAATGATGAGGATTGTATAAGGGCACGAACTAGTGCATATAGCGATGAACATTTTAGTTGAAGTAAGAACCTATAATTCGAGGCAGGAGATTTTGAAGTGACTTGATCCTCCATATGGCACCATACATGAGGATCAGGATTTCGAAGGAAAAACCCACCAAAAAGTCCAAGTCAGTGGGTCATAGAAACTGTCAATATGCGCAGAACTGGCCCTTCAATTACTTCTCACACGCGATGACGGCAGTAGCACCGGCTATCACATCGGTTTACAGGAGGACGTGGTTTAGTGGAAAGTGGCGTGACTTACTACGTCCGGAATGTCAACATAGGCTCGGTTTTCGTACAGACCAACCGAGCCCTTCTTCTCTTCTGCTGCGGCTAATGATTCTAGACTTCACAGCTTGCACCTCTCTCATGCGAAGCGAGATCTCGCCTCGCTTTTTTTAAGTAACGCTGAGAATACACCATGGCCTTCGAAAGGTTTTTGCACTCACTTCTACATCCAAGTGCGTATGGTCTTGAAATTAGCACGAATTTCTCGGCGCACACCATTCTGTTCTATAGTGCCCCGTTCCTTCTCCCCCCTCCCCGTAACAACTACGGATATATTCCACCTTCAACCTGTTTCTGAACTAGAAGAGCTTGTTCTAGAAAGAATTACCAGAACTTCCTGAATATATGAATGGTCAATCCCCGCTTAGAAAGTGACAGGCTAAGGCAGCTGTCAGAAAGTTCAATACAAGCTCAGTCCACCTGCACGAACAGGTGAAAAAGACTGAGAGAGCCGTGTAAGCAAATCGCTGGCAAATTGAATACGGAGCGATCGGTGTGATAAAGACATCAAGGTGTTTAGTGATGATCTTTGATTTTTCGAATAGAAATACTATATCGCTACATGAAGCAGAAGAGGCATTTCTCATAAGTACGTTCATAAACGCACAGTATACGGCTTAATGGTATAAGACACGATAAATTGGTACTCGGTCCAAAATTGTAGCAGGGGGGTTATGTGGTAAAAATGACGAAAAAGCGCAGCAAAACGGTCAGGAACCTGCAAAAAAGCCTTTCTCCTTTACGACAAACGGCAAGCAATTTTGGACGAGTTTCCCGTTGGCATCGTGCCAATAAGCGCTACGGCAGATACGGCTGCATGTATCACTCATATATCCATGCAGCACCGCAGCTGCTTCATATCAATCCCTTTGTTTCACATTTTACTTCGCAAATGAAGCAATACGATCATCAGGTCGGTCGGGCATTTGTGGGCGGGCGAGCGCGGTGGGCGTCCGGGTCGCCATGTTGCAGCTTGATAGGGCCTTATAAGGACACCTCCCTTGGAAAAGGCGCTACGCAGCGCCTGCTCAGAGGCGCCGAATTCTGTCCTGCTAAGGCGTATTAATCCTACACGTCTTGGGGATTTATCGTACCACTTGCCTTTAAAGATGAACCAGTGGGTACTAGTAAACCTGAAAGGAAGATGAAAATTAGCAAGAACAGTTCAATGCTGCTCCTAATGAGCGCATAGTTACGGTTTCCTGAGCTGAAGTCGACTTGTGAAAGTTCTATTTCGAACTGTTTCTCGGGAAGCAGTAAGACCGCTGGTTGGCTGCCGTCAAGCAGCTCACCACCGAACACTACTGGAAGAAGTTTCTGAAGTCTTCGAGACGCTTTAGTACAGGCACAGGGACAGCTTTACTTTTACATAGGTGGCACCAACGTTGATTTTCAATAAACTCAATGTGGAGTAAAAGAATCGGGACGGCTCTGTTGAAAAAGAGATAAAGAAAAAAAAGGGATAAAGTCTCAGCCACTAATC